TAGTTTGAAGTACAAAAACAAACGGGCAAAAACACCCGCATGTGGCCCACGGGCCATAGTTTGAGGACGCCTGTAACCCTTCAATGTTTCCAAAAAATAAAAACAAAGCTCTTTACCAGGGTCTATAGGCTACTCCGGCCCTGCCTACTTACTTCTTTAACCTCATTCCTTGCCATTTTCCCTTTTAGACATTATGTTCCAGTTACTGATCTTTTTTCAGCTCCTTGAACACGTCATTGCCTCCTCCGATCCTTTTTGCTTGCTGTTCACTGTTCTCTCTCTCCTGAAGTGTTTTTCACACGCCTGGTGTATCTTCTTACCCTTTCAGTCTTGGCTTAAATGTTATCTCTGCAGATAGATCTTTTCCGACCACTCAATCCAAAGGAGGCTTCCCTCATGTTATTCTCCCCACAACATTCTATTCTTTCCTCTCATATCAATTATGTACCTATCTCAATATGAAACTATATATTTGATATAATGCTTCTTTATTTAATTTTTGTCTAGCTCCCTTACTAGATGGTAAACTACTTGATGGTGGGAACTATGATTTTTTTTTTTTTTACTTTATTAAAATACTGGGTTTATTTCACATGTATATTTTTGTCTCCCCACCATTTCCAGTCTGACACTGCTACTACTATGTCCTATCATAACATGTCCATATACTTAAAACCAAGCAAAGGGTGGAGTTCCATCTTTAAAAACTAAACAGGCATTTTGGACAACACATTCTTGGCAATGGAACCTGGACAACATTTATCAAACACGGTAGGGAAAGTTCTCACTCTGCATTATAAAAAGGACAGCCAGATATCAACTGTTACAGAAATGAAATAAGACGGAAAATTTTAACAAATTGTTTAAACTATTTTCTTAAAGAGACTTCCTCCACTGCCAGAGATCTTGAATAGCCTCCTGGTCAGTCATCCGAAAGCAGTTCTTCACATAATTGATGAACTTCGCTTCCACTTTGGGAAGAGAACCACCCTTTTCTATACTTGCTTGCATTTTTGCCTTAATGTCTTCTACAGAACTAGGTCCTTTTGGTGTTTTAGGAGTTTTTTCCTGTTTTTGAAGGATCTTGACCCTTTGATCTTGGTGTTGATGGTTTTGAGTCTTTTCTGGTGTTGATCTGTGCATTTTTGGCTGGAGTGTCTCATACAGATTTCTTCACTGGAGCTTTTTCTTCAGTTTCCTCATCATCAAACTCATCATCATCATCATCATCTACATCTTCATCATCATCATCTTCTTCATCATCATCATCTTCATCAGCAGCAAGTTTTACTTTTTTCTGTGGAACCTTGCTACCACCTCCAGGAGCAGATCGCTTCCCAGATATACTTAAGAGTTTCACATCCTCCTCCTCTTCATCTTCTGACTCTGCATCTTCTTCCACAGCTACTAAGTGCTGTCCACTAATATGCACAGGCCCTGAACCACACTTCAACCGTAAGACCACCGGTGGTGTTATTTCAAAGCCCCCAAGGGAAACCGTTGGCTGTACAGACATTTTCAAAGTTGCCAGTGTTACTTTAATTGGACTGCCTTCATAATTCATTGCCTCTGCTTCAACAATGTGCAATTCATCCTTTGCACCAGCCCCTAAACTGACCGTTCTTAAAGATAACTGGTGTTCATTTTCATCATTATCCACCTTAAAGTGATAATCTTTGTCGGCCTTTAGTTCACAACCGAAAAGATAGTTCTGGGGCCTCAGGGGGCTCATGTCCATGTCCATCGAATCTTCCATGGGGTGGTGGCACGCACTTAGGTAGGAGAGAAGGTGGACGGAGATACACGACTACTGCTCCAAAGAACAGCCGCGCAGGACGGAATCACACCTTTTTTTTTTTTTTTGTCATCAATGTATATTTGTACCTAGAGGAGTATTTGGCCCAAGCAAGGCATATTGACTGAAGTAATGAATCACTAAGTACTAGAGTATAATAGCAAGATTATTGGAAAATGGGCAAAAGTCTCCTCAAAAAGTTTCATTTATATTAGGATCATTGCTCATCTCTATGCACTTCTGAGACATATTAATCTTCATATAACTTATAAGTTTAATTTTGAAGATATCCTTTTGAGAAATGGTGCTATTGCCAAACACTAAAATCTCACTGTTTCATATTTAATTTGAATATAACCTGTTTAAAACAGGAAGCTAACACTCTTTAAAAATGGACGAATGAAAACAAGGCATTAAAACCAGTGTTCCTATTTCATTAAATGGAATGTAAAGCAAATCTGCAATTTACAGTGTGAGTTAACAATAAATAAGCAATGTCCAATGATTCCCAGAAATTTATACCCAGTGAACATAAATAAATATCATTTACTGAATAATTACCTGGAAGTTGTAAATATTTCCCTCTGATATTGTTTATAGATTTACCCCAAAAGTCAAAACATTTTCTTAGACAACTCTAAAAACCAAGAAATAAAACCAATTCTAAGTACATGGGGGAAAATCAGCTTATTTCATTTAATTTTCTCCTTTTGTGATTATTGAAGGATTAGTGGGCAGCTGTATGTGTATTTCCAGTTGCTTTCCTCCTCAGATATTTAGCTCTTGGTGGAAAATAAGAGCCTCTGATATCTAATGTTCTTGGCTCCTACCAATAGGGGCTGATTTCAAGCAATACATTATAAAACTCCCAATGAGTGTCTAAATGCTCTTGTTTTTTGAAGTTTTAAAAGGAATAACAACTTGAATGTTCTAGAATAAAGTGTTATTTACCCCCAGTCTCATGAACTCCAAACCCGGTTAATAATATAATAATGTTTAAACTAAACCTAGTAAATCTTAAGTTTGTTTTTTGAATTTATATCAAATTGCCTATTGACCAACAATTACTATTTTTAAAAGAATTAATAGGAAGCTAATTTTTTCTAATGCTAATCAGTGCCAATGAAGATGGTTATTTGCTACTACGAATTTAATGAAGGAATAATTCAAGGTAAAATTTAAATTATTTGATAAAAGTAATATAAGTAAATAACATCTGTTGAGAAAATATAATAAAATGATGAGTACCCAGCTGAAATTGGTTTCTATGTACTTCATCTGTGAGTAATATGTAGAGAAATCAAAAAAAGAATCAGATAGACTTACAAGGTCTATTCTATAGACCTGAAGGATTCAGACTGAGCTGCTGTAGGCCTGGGGGGAGAGGGGTTAAGGGAGAAGATAAGGAAAGAAAGGAATTTGGGTCATTTCTCCTATTAATGAAGAATAAAAGTATTTATTCTAGAGGAAAGTAGGCTTTCTGGGAAATAACTCCCATTGTGTCTGTGTAAACTTGTTGGTAAGCAACTAATATGTCTGAGTTATTGGTTGTATATACTGAGGATTATGAAAAAAGAAGTGAGATAGGAGAGGCAAGAAGAAAGACTTTATCTGCCAGGACCACATTTTTGAGGATAACTTGTTGCATCTTGTTAAGAGTCAGAAATTGAATAAGTAAAAATCAATTATTACAAGTCATGGGAAAAGATGAAAGAAAAAGCTAATTGGTAGAAGGATCACATAACAAAGGCAGTGAGAAAGTTCAAATGCATTCACTGTCTACAGTAACAGGTGGAAGCTGACTGGAAGTTTCCACTTGATTTCTGAGTCACTGGGACCCTCACTTGTGCTACCCTCCAGGCATTGCATTGTAACTTAACCAGGGCTGATAGATATTCAAAGGAAATTAACAGAACAAAGTAAAACTTTCATGTAACTAATAAAAGTCATCATAGTATAGAATTAGTATTTTCATTTAAAATTTTCTCATAATTGGAAATGTGAATGGTTCGCACAATGCTGAGAACTCTTAATTAGCATTGCCATATGGTATTAAATATTTTAAAAATTTGGTTTCAATTAAGTCAGAATGATAAAAATAGAACAGGCTGGAGGCAGGAAAACTGGGGCAGTGATGGTCCTACACGACTGAGTTCAAATACTGGTCCTCCCTCTCTGAGCTACAGATAGTTCCTTCAGCTGTAAAATAAGGAATATATCACCTTCATAAACTTGATAAGCTTGGTGTGAAGACATAACATAAAAACATCTAATGCATGTATATAATAAATTTCATTTCCTCTTCATTAGGTTACCAACCCACTAGATCTTTTTATAATATCTATACAAGAAAATCAAGGGAGACAGAACTAAAGGGAAAGTTAAGAAAAAACCAAAATAGTTCTCGTTTTAGCTTGTATACCATTATTCAGAAGCATCTAGATTTGATCTTACTGGAGTTTCCTAAACAATGAAAAAGCCAGAACATCTCCCCTGTCTGGCAGAACAGTATAACCTCATAAACAAAGCTGCTGTTGACATTTGGATTCAACTATATGTCAGTGACATACAGATTTCCCCTTTCTACATGCTCTGACAGAAGGTAGGAGGAAAGTCAGTGAAACAGATTATTGTCTTTCTTCACTGCAAGAGGTGTGGGTATGTGGGAAGAGGGCAACCACCCTACAGGATAGGGTGGCACAAAGGAAGGAGCAGGAAGTAGCAAATGTGATACCACTTCAAAGAGAAAGTACAGCTGAGGACAGCACAAGGGTCAAGTGATAACCCTAGTAACTTCTTCTCCACATTGAACCCCTCACGTTGTCAAGTTTTGCTCTCCTAAAAGTTATTAAACAGTAGAGTTCAAACTCTGCTTTAAAAAGGTTGTAAAATAAATAAAAATTATTGTCTAGTCCATTAGTCATACTCCAAAGGCAATGAAAAGCCTCTCAAAGGAACAGTATTCCATCAGGTTCTTTGAAAAAAGTAACCCCACTGAGAAAACCATGTACGCAACATCCGAGTCTGTACCTTGTCCATCATCAGCCCTGCTTCACAGTGGTAAGTACTTGCAAGAACTCACTTGTGCTTGCTGACCTGTTATTCTGTCAAAGGTTCTTAAAAGCAGCCTCACGTGTGCATACCCCCCTATCTGTTCAACTAAAGAGCAGAAAATGTCTTGTTACTTTCAAATCATGTTTTTCAGTGCTGAGCAGAGAGGAAAGGCTCTTCAAACACTAAATGGGACTGAACAGAAGATTTCATGCACTCAATAGCCATCAGGAAACCCTGTCGAGCTCTATAGGACCTGAAGAGAATGAGGGCAAGCATAAATGACATTGGTAAGAAAAGACTATCTCCATCTTGCCATGAAAACAAGTCTTACCTGTGATGGGGTTATCCTTCCCTTTTTAATTTCAGATGAATTCTCACTTAGTTTTCCTACTTTGTTACTTGAGCTGCACTTGTAGCATGTCCATCTTGTTTGGCCCTCAATTTCTGTGGTACATTCTTTGTTTTGTAGACAGAATGAGTGATACAAATGGCCACAGCTGCAAAACGAAGGCAACCGATTTGCACTTTTCATTATCATAAAATCCATAAACATAAGCTATGATAACAGTGTACTTATAAGCAATAAAGATTTCTAATAAGCTGGAATGAACTGATGGTTGTACGGGGTAAGACATAAGAAAGGAAATGTACTTGTTGTTGTCTTCTCTTTAAAAATCTAGATTGACATATTTGTATACTTAAGTTGTGAGTAGGAACAGAATCACAGTTCTCTGATACAAACCACCTGGAGGATGAGAAGAACTTCTGTTCATTTCTCAAACTATGAAATTCTGACAGTCTTTTTAGATAGTTTGAGAAAAAAGGAGTTGGGAAAAATCACAATTACATAAGTGGCTTGATAATAACGAGTGATCTGCCTCATTAAATTCAAGGCAAGGGCTGTGATTTGATTAAACATTTACAAGAATGTCTTTGCTATGGTAAATCCTTACATTATGCCTGTGAAGAAATTCCCTACTGATTACACTAAATTACCAAATAAGCCTCCTAGAAGTTGAGTATTGAGTGTGATTCTCAGTCATCTTAACTGATTTCTCCTCATTTCTCCAACCTGAAATATTGGATCACCTCAGAAGTAAATTCTTTTTTTTTCTATAGTCTTTATACTCTTTTTCTTCCCTTTCTCTTTCTATATATAAACTTTCTCTTCTATACTCTTTTATAACTAGCCTTACTCCTTTAGTGATTACTTACAGGTTTCATAGCTTTAAAATACAACCTATTCCTGATGACTACCCAATTTATACTTTTTGGCCCGGACTTCTCTCTCTAAACTCCCTCTCTCTCTTTCTCTCTCTTCAAGAACTCTGTCTACTTTGGATATCTAGTAGGCACCTTAAATTTAACATGTCTAAAACCAAACTTCTGATTTCCATTCCACTCCACCCCACTGCATGCTCTCATCTAACCTTTCCCATCTCAATAAATGGCAACTACAGTCTTGTAGTTTCTAAGGCCAAAAACTCTGGAGCCATCCTTGACTAGTCTCTACCACACCCCACACCCAATCTATAAACAAATCCTGTCAGCTCTCTATCAGAATATATCCAGATTCTTACTGCTTCTTCCTTCATTACTATTACCCAGGGCCCTCTCTCACATGGCTCCTGCAATAGCCTAAGTGGTCAGTTGGCTTACACAGCAGTCACAGTGGTTCTTAAGACATAGGTCAGATCATGTCACCCTTATCCTCAAAACCATCCAATGGCTTCTCATTTTAGAAAGAGTCTAACTCTTTATAAAGACCCAGTTCCTACATGATTTGGCTGGCCTCTGATCTTCCTCTGAAGTCCTCTTTCCTCATCTTCCCTTGCTTCTTTCTGCTCAGACACCTCTAGCCTGCCCCCTCACTGCTCCTTAGGCATGCCAAGAACGCTCTTGCTTCCTGGTCTAGCACTTGCTGACCCTCCTCCTGGGGCACTGTCTTCTGATATGCACAGCCACTTTTTAGGTCTCTTACTGAAATGTCACTTAAGCAGTGAGGCTTTCCCTGCCTACTCTTTATAAATCAGTAGCTCCCAACATTCTCTTTCCTCTATACCATGTTTTACTTTTATTCATGTAATTGTATTTTTATTAATTTTAAAATTGTCTGTTCATAAGTCACTTTAACAGTGAGTCTTTCCCTGACCACTCTATAATATTTCTATCTCCCCCCAAGACTCTCTCTCTTAACATGTTTTTTTTTCCCATAGTAATTACTACTCTATGGTATTTCACTTATTTGCTTGTTTATTATATGCCACTGCCACTAGAATGTAAACTCCCTGAGGGCAGATTCTATGTTTTTGTTCATTCTGTATCCTATGCCTTTGTCTGCTTTGTCAAAGATTAGATGGCTATATGAGGATGGTTTTATATCAGGATTCTCTGTATCCTATGCCTTTGAACAGTAACTGGCATACAGCAGGTGCTCAATAAATATTTGTTGAATGAATGGGTTCTTTATGTGATGGGAACTACTCCCCCCACACCCACCAAATCTACCAATCTTCCTGCATAGCTAACACTTACACAGTGCTCACTCATATCAGGCACTGTTATAAGTGCCTTACATAAATTATCTTGTTTAATCTTCATGAAATCCTAGAGATAGTTACTATCATCACAATGTACAGATGAGGAAACTAAGATATAAAGAGGTTAAATAACTTGTCCAAAGTCTCTCATCTGGCATGTTGCAAAGTCAAGATGTGAACTCAAGAAGTTTGGTTCTGAGTCCATATTAGGCTGCTTCTCTCCATGTATTATGGATGAGCTGCCTTTGCTCCTGAGACCAACCCCTTCACTTCTGCATGAGACCGCTTCTCTCTTTGCACTGTGGCTTAAACATCATTTATATGCTGATGATTTTGAGATTTACATTTCCAATGCTCACACGTCTCTAGATTTCTGACTAGAATATCTGTCTACCTGGGATCCCTGCTCAGATGTCTAATAGCCACCTCAAACCTAACATGTACAAGACAAAACTCTTGACTTCCAGCTCCTTATACGCATTCCTCCTCATCTTAGACAATGAGACCACGTTCACCCAGCTGCTCAGGCCAAAGATCTCATTTTTCCTTCATGCTTCATATCTGTTACCCCAGCAAGTTAGCCCTAGCCTTAAAATATATTTGGAATCCAAACACCTCTCAGCACCTTCACTCCTACCTAATTCTGCTAAAATGTCACTTCCTTAGAGATGTCTTCCCTCATTAAATAGACTCTTACCCTGAACACTTCATCCTTCCATCCCTTTGCCCCATGTTTCATTTTTCTTCATAGCTCTTATTTCTCTGCACCGATTTGTTTCCTGAGTACCCTAACCTCCACCCCTCCCCATTCCCGCACAGATTGTAAGGTCTGTTAGGGCAGGAACCTGCCTGTTATGTTCACTGCTAGAATGGCTGACTGGCTGTGTATCCACGTGTATTCCTGCTCGGTGACGCCACGTATGCACACACACCATACATGCAACATTTCCTTCCCCCTCTTACCTAAACACAATAATTTCATCAGCCATTTCCTGGCGTCTCTTGTACTGCTGCAAACATATAGAGCAGTAATCCTGTTTGGGATTCAGTCCTCTAGTGACTGAAGCTCTAAGGTTACACAAAGACCAATGGAGATCTTGGTTTAGAAGGCTAGTTGTTGTTTCCAGCAGAGTCTATGAAAGACCAAAACAGAAAACAAACAACCAAAGGTTATAAAATGAAAGAGATAGAGAAGATGCATGGGGAATAACACTTATTTAGTTTTCAACTACAAACAACTGAAACTAAAACACATTATAAAGGCATAAAGTTGATGAAAGAAACAAACATCAAAACCTCCAAACCCAAGCAGTTAATATTAATGTGCACAGTAATGATGAGTATACATATTATTAAGATTCTTAAGTCTGTCACTAGTTACTACTGAGAAATGTGTGTTCTCCCATTCTGTGGTTTAATTCAGTATTGATGGCTTTCAAATGACTAGATAAGGCTAAATCTATTTATTTATTGCATTTACATAATAACTTCTCTCTCTCTTTTTTTTGTTTGAGACATAGTCTCACTCTGTTGCTCAGGCTAGAGTGCTTGGTATCAGCCTAGCTCACAGCAACCTCAAACTCCTGGACTCAAGCAATCCTTCTGCCTCAGTCTCCTGAGTAGCTGGGACCACAGGCATGTGCCACCATGCCTGGCTAATTTTTTCCATATATTTTTAGTTTTCCAGCTGATTTCTATTTTTTTAGTAAAGACAAGGTCTTACACTTGTTCAGGTTGGTCTTGAACAGCTGAGCTCAAACTATCTGCCCACTTCAGTCTCCCAGAGTGCTAGGATTATAGGCGTGAGCCACCACGCCCGGCCATAACTTCTCTTTTTGAACAGCTCAGAGTGTTATAACAAAAAAATACAACCAAATCTGGATCCCTGATTTTTTACTGAAATTGCATTTATGGCAATGTTTCAAATAACCCTTCACTGGAAAAGCTAATGGCCATTACTCAGTTTTCATCTGTCTTGGGCAGAGAGATCACATTTTCTTGATCAGCACTTATAAGTCATTTGAATCTATTCAAGACTGTGACATCTGTCATTAAGTCACATAAAAACATTTTTAGAGATATCACATTAAGTCATTTTAAGGCTCTCTGTGCTTATAAAGTATTGCTTTCATACTATAACTAATTCTCAACACTCATATATATCATTTGGCTATGGAGTTGGGCTCTTTTCTGTCAGTCCCAAAGGGTAAGATAGGGCTAGGTGCAGTCCACTTTCCTTTCTATACAGCTTAGCTATTAAATTTGCCTGTAATGCAAAACTAATTGTTTATTCTATTTTTTCCCAATCAAGGCATCTTTTTCTCCTCTTCCATAAGTCCAAAATTGGCAAAAATGTTCTGCCTTGCATTCAGCTTTACTTCTGCTAGCCTGGAATGTGTGCCTGCAGGAGTATCAAGCTTCACTGGGCTCTGTTTAGCCAAACTGCAATTCTTACAACACTCTAGGAAAAGCTCAATCACCCAGATTTTTCTTCTTCTTCTCTCAGACTCTTTAAAAAGCAGACATTATATCTAATGTGTCTAAATGGCACTTTTCCTAGGTGGTTTCATGAGTCACTTTGAAGTACACTAAGAAAAAAATCTTAAATCTCTTATTGAGAATTAAAGTTATAGGTAATTTTAAGTTAAGGAAAGACTGATGACCATTTATGCATTAGTGGCAAACATATGTTACAGAGCATTTAAAAGAACACTCATTTAATTTTATTTTGCAATTTTGTACATCCATGCCGACCCTTTCTTTTTATGGGTTACAGCTTTGTATTCAATTATTTTTACAGAAAATTTCTCATACTTTCATTTTGAAAAAAGATACGTGTCTCACTGACAATGAATCAAAAAAGAAAATAAATCTGAATTAGATGCATTTCCACACTGGAGTGTGTATGTCTATGTGTGTGTGTATTGTATACAAATTAAGGTCAAGAAAAATTTAAAAACAGAAAAAAAACCCCACACATATCTCACTCTATCTAACTTCCAATAAGTAGATAGTAATTTTTTAAAAAAGAGTATAGGTGTAAAATTTAAAAAATAAAAAAAAAGAAAAGCAATGGCTTTTCTGCCTTATGACAGTCTGAGATACAGCAAGCAGCTTACTTACTTGTTCATAGTTAAAGGTATCTAACATGCCCAGAATAAGTCCCTGGATTTCTCCAAGTTTTCCTTTTCCATAAACTGGATCCTAATTAAAAAAAAATTATAACAACTTATAATTCTTTTATGATGCTGGTATTTTAAAATTACTTTACAATATAAGTTATCTCAAAAAGCAAAATGCTCTTAAGTATTTTTCTACAGTCACAAAATATTTATTTTTCTATGAAACTTCCACTAGAAATGCACAATAGTCTCCCTTTGTCTCAAATATTTTGGGAAAATCAAATTTAAATAAACCAAGTTCCTTTCTTAATAATCTTCTTTGCAAACCTAATTAAACTTTACTTTGATTTTAATTCTGCAAAAAGCTTCCTTGTATTCATATTAAACATCAACTCTCCTTTGAGCTCTTATTTATCTGCTGCATTAAAACCAATATACTCAGGAACACCTAGAATGTGTCAACAACTTCTCTTGTGATCCAATTTAACCACCTCTTGGCCCAAACCAACTAAATTGATTTAGTTTTGGAGACAAGCAAGATCCGAGAAAACAGCTTTCAGTTTTTCAAAGCTTTTTTCAATAAAGTCACTGCTGATAAACAACAGATACCTAGCACCCAATCTTTCCACCACTGTTTTTCATATAAGGTGTGCCAAGTAACTTGTTTATTATGCACAATTTGGAAAACACTGAAGTGTACCACAAAAAAACCCAAACAAACAAAAACTGAAATCCAACCACCCAGAGATAAACACTGTTGATACTTTGATGTATATTCCTTTACATTCTTGTTTCTAGGGGAGGAGAAAAAGGGAAAGAAGGAGGGATGCATTTCTTTGCATACAAAATTTGAGTATTTTATATAATATTTTTATGTCCCTTTTTAAAATGTAATGGTATATTGTGAGCACTTTCCCATACCATCAAATATTTCTTAATAGCTGCAGAGTATAAATTATGTGAAAATACCATGTTTTATTCAGTCACTCCCTGCTATTGAACATTTAAGTTTTCCCCTTTCCCAAACCCCACACAACATTATCAAATGCAAGCAGCTGTAACTCTTGGTCTGAATCTCTGGTTCTTTCTTTAGAGATTTCTGGACAGGGAATTACAGACTCAAAGAGTATTTTTATGGCTATCAGTATATACTGCCAAATTGCTCTATCAAAAAGTTTATTATAAGATTTTTTATCTCCATGAGCATATTTGTGTGCTCATTTTACTGCACCTTTGGCTAGATTGATAGTTACAATTTTAAAAATTGCCAATAAATATGTCAAGTCTATTACTTTACTCTAATATCTGGTTATGTAGTAGGAGATAAATGACTGTTTTCCATGCCAAATAGAGGAATCCAACTATACAATTATGATAAAAGTAACTGCTATTTATTAAGTGGCCAACACGTGAAATACAGTGCTAAGTACTTTTTGTTTACCATATCACTAATTTCCTTCAACAACTTTTATGAATAAAGAAATTGAGGCTTAGAGAGGTTACGTAAACTTCTCTAAGTCACAAACCTATTAAGCAGATAGGATGGGATTTGAATCTAGGTACTTTAGAAATCATGCTTTTAATGAGCACACTATACTGGTCTCCCAAGTATAGATGTATAAACTAATAAACCAAATAATAAAATAATTTTTGCTGGAAAATATGGGTATCTAATATGGGTAAACTAAATGATAAACAAATCACTGCTAGAAAATATGAGTAACATTTCTGGCTATTTCTTAGGGAGTAAGGGTTATTGAAATCTTGTTGCTATAAGAGTAACTGTGAGGTCAGAAAGAAAAAAGGCTATGAAAGCAGGAAAAACTTATACAACATAGTCTCAGGATTTTCTTATTTTTCTCTTCTGGGCTCCAGTGATGGCTCTTGAAGACTAGGTTGTGCAGTTTCTAAAACTGGTTTTCAGTACTTTGAGTTTGTCTAGAACAGCATGATACTGTCTGCCAGGTACAAAATAACTATGTATTTGTGTACTAATTAACAAATTTACAAGTTTTGTCTTAAGATTAATAGAAAAGTTTTCTGTTTCACAGCTAGAGATATATTATTAAGCTAAAGATACCCTGACAGATATGTGGGGGCCATTTATAAAAGGCAAGACTACAGATATCTCAGACTAGTTCTTCACTAGAAAAACAACTTAAGCCATATACTCACTGGACAATTTTTACTTTCTTTGTATAAGAATAGTCCCAAGTTAATGCTTCTCATCTTCACTTAATTATGCTTTTTGGTCAAGTTCTTAATAAATGCACTTATTTCTCAAAGTATCAACATGCAATATCTTATTATAAAAACCTATTATGCTATCTATCTACTATAACATGTGTATCCAATATGACAGTATAGCTCTGGCATGTGCTTATGACAAGTGTGTTTTATAAAATAAGGAGGTCTTAAAAGGTTAAATTTTGGGGAAAAAGAAGAAATCTTTATAGGTCATTTCTATATTTATATCAGTACATTTCACTGTAATATGCATAATTTAAAAGCAAAATCATGAAAACGACCTCATGCTGGGACAACATATAAATTATGAAATGCAAAAGGGAGCTCAAAGTTTCTAGCACAGCATGTGCCAACCCACTAGCTCTTCAAATTATTTTCCAAAGATGTCAGCCAGATTCTTCAAGCAATGAATAGCTGCTGAGGTTTCTCTTTAACTTGTTTGTAAACTATGAAAGAAAAGCACACTTGGGTACCCCACATAAAAGTGGTTTTCAAAACGCACACTAGAAAAAGATGTGATGATCACTTTTTTCTCTATTGCTTTCTGGCACTTATTGTATTATGTACATGGTTTGTTTTAAAATTAAAATCTTTACTAATTGAGCATTACTTTAAATATGAATGATGCCCTAAGCAGAAGAGTAGATAAATCATTTGTTTGCCTTAATTTTCTCAGTAAGAAAGTCATAAACAGCTTCTCAGTAGACAAGAATTACTTTTGCCTCAGAGTGAAGACAGAATGTATATTATCATTATTACTATTATTTCATATCTTTTGTCTAGTTTGGTGTTGTTTTAAGGAGGGTAAATCTAGTGTCTGTTATTACATCTTAGCTAGAAGTGGGATTCCTCCATTCTTGATTTTTATTCACTCTAGAAATATTTATTCAGTATGTATTCTATGTTAGGTGCCTCTGGGGTAGGTGATGGTGATAGAGCCGTAGGCAAAATGTAGTCTTATCTCTTAAGGTCCTTATTTTCTAATGACATGTAAAAATAGGTAAATAGATCTGACTCTGAGACGTTTCCCAGAACTCAATCTTTGTCCCTCTGCTTTCCATGCTCATTCACAGCCTCCTAAGTTCATCCAGTTTTAAGAATTTAACTACCACTTCTACATTGAAGACTCCCAAGTCTATATTGCCATTTCTTACCTCTTCCTCTAAACTCTAGTATTGTTATTCTCTTACTGCTCACTTTAGCCACATGAACCTGAAATCAGGGGATTAACTGGGTTCTTTTTGTGTCTCTATATCTAAACAGTAATAGTCCAGTGGATTCTATCACCCAAATCCATTGTGTCCTCTCCATTCTATGCAACCCAATTAAGGAACTTTGAGTGCCTATTATTATATCTAGGTATCTCTCGGTAGTCTTCATTGCTTCCCATTTATCCTGTATAATGCAGGATGAGTGACCTTTCTAAAGAAAAACCTCATTTCATAATTCCTCTATTTAAAATCTTGATGACAATTTACTGATTTTAGAATAAAATCCAAAGTCCTCACCATAGATCACAAAGCAATTATAGACATGGTCCCAGCCTATCTCTCAAATTTCAGCTCTGTGATTCCTCATTTTTCTAGTCTGATGTTGGAAGCACTTAAAACACTTGCAACTCCCCAAATATATCATGTTTTCACCTCAAAGTCTTTGTATATATAGTTCTCTCTGCTTAGAATAATCCTATCTCCTTTCTTTCCCTGATTCCTTTGCTCTTTAAGATTCAGGTTAGACATTTCCTCCTCCAGGAAATCTTTCAAAATTCCCTTGTCTGCCTCAGATATATGCTTTTATTGGTATTTCTTTGGCTATATATATATATATATTCAGAAATCCAACTCAATCTAACTTATTCAAAAAAGATAATAATTATAAAGGCACTGGGGTGTTTCAAGGATTCAAGCAAACGAATGCAGGTAAGCCTTAAGAACTACAATGAGGGACTCAAATGCCATTCACAGTTTTCTCTCCACATTGTCTTCTTTCGTGGTGTGTATGTCTTGAATCCTCTTTATGCATCTTGTCTGTTCTCCTCTTTGTGTGTCTGCTTCATTCCTCCCCATCTCTCTGTAGATTATTCTTTTTCACTATTCCAGTTCATATAATGGAAAAACAGTCACTGTCAGCTGAAATTTGAACCTGATATAATCCAGAGACCTGAAAAGAGACTTCTATGTCCTTCTCAAGTTCAGTGGTAAAATTCCTGGAAGGGACACTGATTGACCTAGGGTGGGCAACTGGCCTAAACAGGGCCAATCGGTTGGAGCGAGGAGGCAGGGGCATGCTTTCCCATGGCTGCTTCTGCTGTTATCACGTGTACAGAGTGCAGGGATGCAGACATGGCAATTGCCCTATATGGGTTCAGAGCAGATAATCCTAAAGGTGGCCACTATGACTTGCATAGAGCACTATGGATTGTATCAGAACATTTTTTGTCTCTCTTATAAGAGCTCTTGTGGGGAAAGAACTGTGCCTTTTATCTATTTAGGTAATGACCAAACAGGGTAACATATAATTAATAATTGTTAATTAACTCCCAAAAGAACAGGGACTGAAACAAATAACAAAAGCTTATATGATGTAACAGAAAAGAACATAAATTAAGAAATGGGAGACTTTGGCAGTAGTCCAGGTTCTGCCCCTAATGACAGAACAGGCACTTAACTTCTCTGTATTTCAGTTTCCTCCTTTGTCAGCAGAAATTTTTCTAGTAGCCCTACCTACCACAACAGATTATTGTGGGATTCGAATTAGATCATATCTACACTGTACAAATATAAGGTATAGTTATTGTAGTAATCACAAACATGGAAATAAAGAATTTAAGAAATAGCATACCCTCCTGAACAGTGGCAGTTAACCACTGAAAGTGGAACATGAGAAGAAAACAATTATAATGAATGCCAGTATAACTCAGAATAAAAAATTTTCAAATATCAAAAGATTTTTGGATTCCAAAGACTTGCAATACAAAAATTTTAATAAACATATGCTTTTGCCAAGGGAAAGATAGAGTTTTGTTATAGTTTACATATCATAATGTGTGGTTAAAGCTCAACAAAAAGCAAACATATGTACTGAGAGAGTCCACTTTTGGCTTTAGGATTTCATTTTTTCTAATTTATTTTCTTCCTTATGAAGATATTATTTTATATATGATTAAAAACCTTATGATTAATGTGTTTTAAGATGGGTATGAGAAGTAGTCAATAGCAAAGAATTATTCAACATGACAGTTGCTAAGATCAAATGAGAAAATATGTGTAAAAATATATTCTAAAGGATGGTGCACTACTGTGAGAAGACAGAGACTACTGGATGCATTAGTCTTTATCAGTAAAGGCCCAGGAGCTTAATACAAAATGGGAAGGAGAGCTTGGAGAGTCTCAAAAGAGATAGGGACATTCATGACTGAATAAAAATCATTTGAAAATTATAAAGATCAATGGCATCACATTGCTGGGTTTTTTTTTGTTTGTTTGTCTGTATTTTGATGTGCCTCTATACTGTATGAAATGAGGGAAGACAAAATGGATTCTAAATATAACTTATGCTGTTTCCCCAAGAATGCTCACCGATTTTTCTAAAAATATCTCTTAGGTTATCTTTTTTTAAGAAACATAAACAGCTGGAAATAAATGACAATTCTCTCCCAGGTGGCATACCCATAGGAAACTTGTGTATCTGAATCCCAAGGTAACAGTGAACATCTGAAGGCTGTAAGCCCAACTGAAGGTCACAAGCTTATGTCAGGCAAACTCATACTAATGGGCTGACAGAAAAGATTCAAGGATGAGGGCCATAAGTTAAATATATATAGCTAATGCCAAAAATTAGCTGCATTATGCTTGAGATCCATTTAAACAGCAGCCCAAATTGCTGTTATTTATACATAATCAATCAACATTTAATTTTTTTCCCCTTTTAACTCACCTGTAAGATTCTTTGCAAGATTGATGGAAGGGCAATAAATGCTGCCATGCTGTTTAGAACTTGCATGGTCAAAGATTTCAGGGCTGTTATAACAAAATGTTAATATTAAGGTTAGTTTAAAATAAGAGTTCTCAGTTTTTCCTATAAGTCAAATAGAAAATTTGATTAAATTTTGATTAAATTAAGAAAATAGTGGACTTATGTAGCTTCTTAGAAACATAGCCAACCAAGAACAATTTGATATTTTAAAGTTAAGTTGCAGAGACTACTGCTATTCAAGATAAATTATAAGCTGCTAAGATTACTATTATTCACGATAAATTAAATAAATGGCATGACAGAGAATTAAACCCGAAAGATTGAGATCAACACTACAATATGGTTTCATTAAGGAAAATAATAAGAATATAATATTGGGAAACGATATCATAATTATAGTTCTTGCAGATGAAAATTAGACTGATGATACAGGTGACTCAGTTACTTCAGTTCCGATGAACTTACCTTCTGAGTGTAGATGAGGGACAGCAGAACTGGACAGCTTCTGAGGGGCCATCATTGCCTCCAATAATGGAAACCAGAGAGCCTACGATGTCAGAGGAAATCAAAGAAAAACAAAAGTGATCTGTTATTTTCAAGAATAATTAATATTGGCATAGTGTTTTAAAGGTTAAGATGTACTTCTCACATACATTTGTCAGTGGAAATTAGAAAAAGGAAAAAGGAAGCATTTGACAGGGAAGGGAAAAGACAATAAAAAAGAGAGACCATAGCTAGAACAGATATCTTTATCATGCAGCCTTGGGAAACATAAGAAAGCCCAAGTTAAATAAGTCTAAGCCTTGGAACTGCAATCTTATGTGTCTCAGGAAAGGGTAGGTTTAAAGAAGCCAGAGATGAGCTTCCTGCTAGCTTCTTATCTACTCTGGTATAAATGTATCACTGACAAAGTCTAAAATAAGCCTATGAGCCACAGAAAGAAATAAACCCATAGTTACCGGTCCCACATCCAATTTTCTTCATCTATGTCAACCAAGATACATGAGTAAAGGTTATCCAAAGTTTTTTTCATATCAAGCACTACTTTATATTTCCTAAGTCATCACAGACCAGGAAATGGAAGTTAATGCTATCTCAATTAATATTATGAACCATGTCAAGAGATAAAGTGATCTAGCATTTATTTACTCCTATTATGTTAGTCATTATATTGAAGGCCTTACATATATTTTTTTTTAAAAATCAGTCTCATAATAACTTTACATTGTAGGTATTATCTTCACTTGAGATAAGAAATTGAGGTTAATCAAGCTAATGCATTTTACCATTTCAGACATGTTTTCTTGTTGGATAATGATTTAGAAATGCCCTAACCCCACACGTTGAGAAAAACCTATTGCTGCAAACATCCAAAAGAAAGGAAAAAAGTGAGTATTGACAGAGTAGGACAAGAGCAGCTATTCTCTGTACAGAGGAGGATATGTTCCATATCTCACCACCTGACACTGCAGAACTGGCCTGGCAATGAAGATACCAGATTAGATTGGCCCTACAAGAAATAACGAGGGAGTCCTATATCTAAAAGCAAAAGAATGGTATCTACCAACATGAAAGCATATGAAAGTATAAAACTCATTGTTCGGACAGATATACAAATGAGAAAGACAAAGGAGTCAGACATTACCACTATAGAAAACCATCAAACTGCAATGACAAACTATAAGAGAGAAAGAAAGGAATTAAAGATATACAAAACAATCAGAAACAATTAACAAAACGACAGGAATAAGTCCTCACCTATCAATAATAACTCTGAATGTAAACAGATTAAATAACTCATTTAAAAGATACATACTGGTTCAATGGACAAAAAAACATGACCCACTATAAGAAACTCACTTCACCTGTATAGACACACATAGACTGAAAGTGAACAGGTAGAGAAAGATATTCCATGCAAACAGAAACCAAAAGTGAGTATGAGTACCTATACTTATATCAGATAAAACAGATTTTAAGTCAAAAAATGTACAAAGAGACAAAGGTCATTATATAATGACAAAGGGATCAATTTAGCAAGAGGATATAACAATTCTAAATATATGTGGACTTCACACCAGAGTACCCAAATACATAAAGCAAATATTATTAGATCTAAAGGGAGAGATAGAGTCCAATATAGTAATAGTTGGGACTTCAACACTCCACTCTCAGCATCAGACAGATCATCTAGACACAAAATCAACAAAGAAACACTGGATTTAAATTGCACTTTAGACTAAGTGGGCCTAAAAGACATTTGCAGAATATCATCCAACAGCTGTAAAACAGACATTCTGCTCATCAGGGCATAGAACACTCTCCAGGATAAATCACATATTGGGCCAAAAAATAAGTTTCAACAAATTTATAAAAATTGAAATCATATGAAGTATCTTCTTAGATCACAATGGAATACAACTAGAAATCAATAACAAAGAGTAAGTTTGGAAACTGTGTAAATACATGGAAATTAAACAACATATTCCTGAATGACCATCGGGTCAATAAAGAAATTAAAAAGGAAATTTAAAAATGTCTTCAAACAAATGAAAAGGAAAACACAACATAGAACTATGGAACACAACAAGAGCAGTGCTAAGAAAGAATTTTTTTTTTTTTTTTTTTTTGAGACAGTCTCGCTTTGTTGCCCAGGCTAGAGTGAGTGCCGTGGCGTCAGCCTAGCTCACAGCAACCTCAAACTCCTGGGCTCAAGCGATCCTCCTGCCTCAGCCTCCCAAGTAGCTGGGACTACAGGCATGTGCCACCATGCCCGGCTAATTTTTTCTATATATTAGTTGGCCAATTAATTTCTTTCTATTTATAGTAGAGATGGGGTCTCGCTCTTGCTCAGGCTGGTTTCGAACTCCTGACCTCGAGCAATCCGCTCGCCTCGGCCTCCCAGAGTGCTAGGATTACAGGCGTGAGCCACCGCGCCTGGTCTAAGAAAGAATTTTATAGCAATCAACACCTTCATCAAAAAAGCAGAAACATTTCAAATAAACAACCTAAAGATATACCCGAAGGAACTAACAAAGCAAGAACAAACCAAGCCCAAAATTAGTAAAAGGAAAGAAATAATAAAAATTAGAGCAGAACAAAACAAAATAGAGACTAAAAAAAACAAAAACAAACAAACAAAAAACAATAAAAAAATCAAAGAAACTAAAAGTTGGTTTGTTGAAAGATAAACAAAATTGAGGACAGGCATGGTGGCTCACACCTGTAATTCCAAGCACTATGCGGGGCTAGGGTGGGAGGATTGCTTCAGGCCAGGACTTTACCAGCCTGGGAAACATAGTGAGGCCCCATCTCTATAAAAAAATTAGCGAGGCGTGGTGCTGTGTGCTTGTAGTGCTAGCTACTAGGGAGGTTGAGGCGGGAGAATTGCTTGAGCCCAGGAGTTACAGTAAGCTATGATCCAGCTACTACACTCTAGCCTGGGCAACACAGTGAGACCCTGTTTCTATATTTAAAAAACCACAAAAAACAACAAAATGGACAAACTAATGATTACACTAACCAAGAAAAAAAAGGGAGAAGATGTAAATAAATAAAATCAGAAATGAAAATGGAGACAGCCGATACAACAGAAATGTGAAGGAACATTAGAGACTATCATGAACAACTAAACACTAAAAAATTGGAATACCTACAGGAAATGAAAAATTCCTGGACACAGACAACCTACCAAATGAAGTAGGAAAAAACAGAAAACCTGAATAGACAAAGAAAAAGAGCAACGAGATTGAATTGAAAAAGTGTCCTGAAAAAGAAAAGCCCAGGACCAGATAACTTTACTGCTGAATTTTACTAAACTTTTAAGGAAGAGCTAAAATAAATTCTTTTCAAACTATTCCAAAGAATTGAAGAGAACAGAATTCCTCCTAACTTATTTTACAAAGCCAGCATTACTGCCAAACCAAAACCAGATAAGGATAAAACTAAAAAGAGAAAACTACAGGTCAATATCCCTGATGAACATACATGCAAAAATCCTCAACAATATATTAGCAGACCAAATCCAAAAACACATCAAAAAGATATAATTGGCCCTTAAACAATGTGGATTTGAACTGCATGAGTCCACTTTTACATGAACTTTCTTCTGCTTCTGCTGTCCTTGAGACAGCAAGACCAACCCCTCCTTCTTTCTCCTCCTCTTTGGCCTACTCAATGTGATGACGATGAGGATGAATATTTTTATGATGATCCACTTCTACTTAATAAATAGTTAATATGCTTTCTCTTCATTATGGTTTGTTTTCTTAATAACATTTTCTCTAGCTTACTTTAATATAAGAATACAGTATATATATATAATACATATAACATATAAAATATGTGTTAATGGACTGTTTCTGTTCTCAATAAGGCTTCTGGGCAACAATAAGATATTACTGAAGTTTTTGGGAAGTCAAGAGTTACATGCAAATTTTTGACTGCATGGAGGGTTAGTATCCCTAACTCTCACATTGTTCAAGGGTCAATTGTAATACACCATGATAATGTGGGATTTATCCTAGGGATGCAAGGATGATTCAACATATGCAAATCAATAAAGGCAGTACACCAAATCAAGAGAATGAAGAACATATGCCATATGAACACTTCAACAGACACAGAAAAGGCATTTGATAAAATTCAAAATCCCTTAATGATAAAAACTCTCAACAAACTAGGCATAGAAGGAATATACCATAACATAATAAAGGCCAAATATGACAAATCCACAGCCAACATCAGACTGAATGGGAAAATCTTTTCCTCTAAAAACTGAAATAGAGCAAGGATGTCCACTTTACCACTCTTATTAAATTGAAAGGCCTAGTCAGAGCAATCAGGCAAGAGAAAGAAATAAAAGTCATTAAGATTGAAAAGAGGAGGTGAAACTGTCCTTCTTTGCAAATTACATGATTTTATACACAGAAAGTCCTAAAGACTCCACTAAAAAACTCTTAGAACTGATGAACGAATTCAGTAAAATTGCAGGATACAAAAGCAACATAAAAAAATCACTAGCCTTTCTCAGGACTAGCTGAGAAAGAAATCAAGAAAGCAATCCCAATAATAATAGCTACAAAAAAATTAAAATACCTAGGAATAAATTTAACCAAGGAGGTAAAAGACCTCTAAAATGAAAACCACACAACACTAAGGAAAAAAATTAAAGAGGACACAAACAAATGGAAAGACATCTCACCCTCATAGATTGGAAGAATTAATATTGTCAAAATAACCATACTACCTAAAGCAATCTACAGATTCAAAGCAATACCTGTCAAAATACCAATAACATTTTTCATAAAAATAGAAAAAACAGTCCTAAAACCCACATGGAACCACAAATGATCCCAAGTAGCCAAAGTGAAGCTAAGCAAAAAGAACAAAGCTGGAGGCACCACACTACTGATCTTCGAAATACACTATAAGGACACAGTAACCAAAACAGCATGTTATTGTTAGGAAAACAGGCACACAGACCAATGAAACAGAAAAGAGAAACCAGAAATAAATCCACATACTTAGAGCCAACTGATTTTTGACAAAGACACCAAGAACTTATGGAAAAGACAGCCTCTTCAACAAATACTGCTGGGAAAACTGGATACCCATATGTAAAAGAATGAAACTAGACCCCTATCTTTCATAATATACAAAACTCAACTTAAAATGGATTAAAGACTTAAAAACATAAATCCCAAAGCTATAAAACTACTGGAACAAAACACAGGGGAAATGCTTCAGGACATTGGTGTAGGCAAAGATCTATGGCTAATATTTTAAAAACACAGACAACAAAAATAGACAAATGGGATTATATTAAGCTAAAAACAATCAAAAGAGTAAAGAGACAATGTGTAGAATGGAAGAAAATATTTACAAATGATTCATCCAACAAGGACTAATATCCTGAATATACAAGGAACACAAACAACAACAAACAAATAAACAAACAAATAAATAATCCCATTAAAAAGTGGGCAAAAGATATAAATATGCATTTCTCAAATGAATACATACAAATGGACAACAGGTATATGAAAAAATGCTCAACATCACTAACCATCAGGGAAATGCAAATCAAAACCTCAATAAGATATGATTTCACACCTGTTAGAATGGCTATTATCTAAAAGATGGCATAAGTGTTGGTGAGTATGTGGAGAAAAGGGAATCCTTGTGCTTTCTATTCCTTGTTGACAGGAATGTTAATTAGTACAGCCATTATGGAAAACATTAGTTTTCTCAAGAAACTAAAAAAAAAACAACTACCAAATGATCCAGCAATCCTGCTACTGGATGTTTATCCACAGGAAAGAAAATCAGTATAAATGGGCATCCCCATGTTTATTGTAGCACTAGTCACAATACCCAACATATGGAATCAATCTAAGTGTTCAACAACAGGTGACTGGATAAAGAAAATGTGATATATATATACAACTGAATACTATGCAGTCATAGAAAAGGATGAAATCCTGTCATTTGCAGCAACATGGATAAAACTGAAGGTCACTATGTTAAGTGAAATAAGCAAGGCATAGAAAGACAAATATTGCATCTTTGTATTTTATAACATGTGATAGACAATTATCCCATGTTCTCACTCATATGTGGAAGCTAAAAACAGTTGATGTTATGGAGGTAGGGAGTAGAATGATGACTAACAGAGAGGCTAGAAAGGGTTAGGGTGGAGTGATGAAGAAAGGTTGGGTACAAACATACAATTAGACAGAAGTAATAACTTGTAATGTTTCATAGCACAGTAGGGCAACTACAGTTGACAATAATTTATTGTATATTTCAAAATAGCTAAGAAGAGTTGAAATGTTCCCAACAGAAAGAAATGATAAATGTTTGAGGTGATAGGTATCCTAAAATACTCTGACTTCATCATTGCCCATTGTATGCATGTATAGAAATATCACATGTACCCACCCCATAAGTATGTACATATTTATTATCAATTCTAAAAACCCAACAACACAACAAAAGAAATTCCTCAGTTTTACATAAGCTTCCTACAGGAGACTGAGTACTATATTTTTAAAAACAAGCATTATTTGATCCAATTTTTCTAAAACCTAGGCAGACAAAAAATACCTAGAATAATGTTCACCAAATGATAATGATAGTTATTTTTGGGTGATGGAATGAACATACTGTAATTTTTTGAAGAGATTCTTCTGTGTAACTTTCTGTATTACATGATTTTTAAAAATGAGTATGTATAATTTCATAAAATTTTTTAATAAAGAAAAAGTCACATCCATATGTAAATGAGTTTATTTTACAAAATTTATATTCTAAAGAGTTTTCATAATTTATGACCTTGAAAATTCCTTGATAAAAACTTAAAGGAAAAATTTACCCATCTCATAAGAACAGCAAATATACCAAGATTTATTATTTTCATTGTAACATGTATAACTAAATATATATGTATATGTATGTGTTTGTGTGTGTGTGTATATATATATAATTAATTAACCCTGTTCCCCTTTCAAACACTCAGACAGTGAAAAGTGGCCAGGCAATGTCAAGCCAATGGCCCAAGCCCAGGAGGCACAGGCATAGAGGCGTTAAACCACATCATGATATACCTTAACTTTCTGAAACAACTACAGAATTTAACTGTCAAATCACATCTCAACCCCTTAGTTTCTGCTTCACTTCTGTAACTCCCACCTGTACCGGGTGCCCAACTATACCTCCCTCAGTTTTGTTTTCTTCCTTTGTGCAGTCTGGGATCTGTTCTAGCAGTAATTCAACCTTTGCTGCATATTAGAATTATGTATAGAGTTTTAAAACATACTCATGACCAGGTCCCAGCCCCAGACCAGAGTCTTTAATTGATCTTGGGTGAAGCCTGAGCAATGTGATTTTTCAAAGCTCCACACATGACTCTGATCTTCAACCAAGGCTGACGACTACTATATCATAGCCTTCTTTGACCTTTTTCCAGCTTTCTCTGTATCCCTTGAGAGCTTTCCTCCCGTTCTTCATGCTCACTTTCACCCATAGGGAATAGGAGAGATGATAAATGATGACATATCCATGGTACTACTACATAGAATACACAAAATCTCAGTCCAAAGAGAACAGAGAAACCTAGTATTCAAGCGCCCTCAGTTTTGTAGCATAGCCAAATCTAAGATACAAAGCCTTCGGTGAGAACAAAGAGGCCACACACTCCTCATAATAACTTCAGCAGTCTTATACTCCTGGGAACACTAAAAAGTGATTAAAATCCAGTTGAATTAAACTCAGGTGGCTGAGAGGGCAGTGGAAATGGAATTAATTCCTACTTGCAGACAAGAACAGGCATTTAAATGCCTAAATAGTCATTCTCCTACCTCTCGTTGCTGCTGGTTCAGATTATGTGAATTTCTCTGGCAAAGAGCAATTGTCTCTACCATAGTATCTTCAACATCCTTCAGTGAGGGATCCTCTTTGGTATCTAGATTCAGAAAAAGTATAAACATCACTTAAGGATATATTAATGATAATCTCAGAGTTTCTGTGAAAAATTAAACTCCTTTTTACATTTGCATCACCTTAGTTTTCTATTATATGACCATCCATAAAACCTGATACCAAGGTTGAGTAGATTAAAAAACAAATCATTCGGCCGGGCGCTGTGGCTCACGCCTGTAATCCTAGCTCTTGGGAGGCCGAGGCGGCGGATTGCTCAAGGTCAGGAGTTCAAACCAGCCTGAGCAGAGCGAGACCCCGTCTCTACTATAAATAGAAAGAAATCAATTGGCCAACTGATATATATATATAAAAATTAGCCGGGCATGGTGGCGCATGCCTGTAGTCCCAGCTACTTGGGAGGCTGAGGCAGAAGGATCACTCGAGCCCAGGAGTTTGAGGTTGCTGTGAGCTAGGCTGACGCCACGGCACTCACTCTAGCCTGGACAACAAAGCGAGACTCTGTCTCAAAAAAAAAAACACAAAAAAACAAAAAACAAAACATTCTATGCAATAGGAGTTTCCCATATAAATGTTTGACATTCATAGTACATATAAAGCACGCCATACTTAGCATTTTAATACTTTAGCTATGAAAAAATCCCAAATCATCTGTCTGTGGATTAGTTGTTAGTAGAGATTATCCTTCACCTTTCTTGCTCTCTTCCTCTGCCTTTCTTTTTTTCTTTTTTTTTTTTTTTTTTGAGACAGAGTCTCGCTTTGTTGTCCAGGCTAGAGTGAGTGCCGTGGCGTCAGCCTACCTCACAGCAACCTCAAACTCCTGGGCTCAAGCGATCCTTCTGCCTCAGCTTCCCAAATAGCTGGGACTACAGGCATGCGCCACATGCCGCTATTTTTTTTATATATATCTCAGTTGGCCAATTAATTTCTTTTATTTATAGTAGAGACGGGGTCTCGCTCTTGCTCAGCTGGTTTTGATTCTGACCTTGAGCAATCCGCCGCCTCGGCCTCCCAGAGAGCTACGATTACAGGCGTGAGCCACTGTGCCCGGCCTCCTATTTCTTAAATGTAGGTATTCCCTCAAGATACTACCTGAGGCCCTTTTCTCTTTTCATTTTTTTAAAAGATTCTAGACATTTCTGTGGTTTCAACTCTTATGTCTTTGTTAATAACCACAAACATACACCATCAGCCTTTATTCTGTTCAAAACCTGCAGGTTGAATTTTCTAATGACCCTAGGACATTTATCTCCAAGTGGATGGAAGTCTTGCAAAAATCTTGGACTTTATACGTGGAAAATCCAACTTATTTTTCTAATTTCAAATTTGCTTTTCCCCCACATTTCCAAACTAAGTTAACGGAGCCTTCATCTTTAAGTCAACCAGTTTATACATCATCTTTGATATGAGGACTCTTTCACCCCACACATTCAAATAAACTGCACATTTTAGTTGATTCTACCTCTGTACTCACATATATCCACAACCCTATCCTGGTGGAGCTCTTAATCATCTCATCTGTGCTACTGCAACAGACTCTTAATTGAACTTTTGACCTCTAGATCATTCCCTACCACAAAAACTATTAAAAATTCCTAATTCTTAAAAATAGAATGTAAGTAAGTCTCTGACACTAAAAAAACAGTAAAGATTAAGGCTCTTCTCACTCTCTGTGCTCTGGTATCGCCAGATTATTTCTTACTCCCTGAGGTTACTAGCCAGGCACTCCCAAGCTCTCCTCAGCCTAGAAGGTCCTTTGCCTGCTTTTGTCTATCAAACTCTTTTCATCCTTCCAGTCTTTCTTCATAGGTCAAGTCTCTCACAACACTCTCTTTGATTCACGGGTTACAAATAGTTCCCTAAGGTTCCACACCTCCTTTTCATAACATTTCATTCCACTTGTATTAGAAATTTTTATTTACATATCTGTCTCCTTCCTGAGACTGTGGCTTTTTTTTTTTTTTTTTTTTGGCAGGGGTAGGGGATCTATTTTAGTAGTCTGTGTATATAGCCCATAGGAACTAAGCACAATATCTTACTTTTAGCAAATCCTTCAAAAATTCTTTTGTTTTGTTTGTTTGAGACAGAGTCTCACTCTCTTGCCTGGGCTACAGTGCTGTGGCCTCAGCCTGGCTCACAGCAACCTCAAACTCCTGGGCTCAAGCAATTCTCCTGCTTCAGCCTCCTGGGTAGCTGGGACTAAAGGCATAAGCCATTGTGCCTAGTTAATTTTTTCTATTTTTAGTTGTTTGGCTAATTTCTTTCTATTTATCATAGAGACAGGGTCTCACTCTTGCTCAGGCTGGTCTTGAACTCCTGAGCTCAAGCAATCCTCCTGCCTCGGCCTCCCAGAGTGCTAGGATTACAGGCGTGAGCCACTGCACCCAGCCCCTTCAAAAATTCTTAAGCACACTGTCAAAACTGAATCTGAGGCCGGGCGCTGTGGCTCACGCCTGTAATCCTAGCTCTTGGGAGGCCGAGGCGGCGGATTGCTCAAGGTCAGAGTTCAAAACCAGCCTGAGCAAGAGCGAGACCCCGTCTCTACTATAAATAGAAAGAAATTAATTGGCAACTGATATATATATAAAAAAATTAGCCGGGCATGGGGCCATGCCTGTAGTCCCAGCTACTCGGGAGGCTGAGGCAGGAGGATTGCTTGAGCCCAGGAGTTTGAGGTTGCTGTGAGGTAGGCTGACGCCACGGCACTCACTCTAGCCTGGACAACAAAGTGAGACTCTGTCTCAAAAAAAAAAAAAAAAAAAAAACTGAATCTGAAAGTAGATGGCAGACATGACACTATTACTGCAAAATTTATCTTTGTTGGAGTTCAAAACAGTGGCATCTTTTGACGTACCACCTATGAACCACCTAAAAATACTCTTCTTAATTTTCCATCAGTCTTTCATATATTTATTGTCTGCAAAAGTTGTTCTCATAACACTAAATTTAAAAAGAAAAATGACATAAAACACAACAAACCTAACATAATCAAACTGATTGAACACATGCTGATAGTATAAAAATAGTAATTATCTATCTGGACTATTAATATAGAAAAATCAATCAAGTGTTTACTGAGGTTCTAAGAAGATTTAGTATAATACCAGATGATCAAGATACAACACAGACTCTATCATCTAGGACATAACCATCAAAAAATATAGATAATTAATCTACAGAGAATTAGGGTAAATGTATATTTGGAAAAAGTATGGATGGAGATGTCCAAGAAATGTGTTGTGTGTTAAAGAGGTAGGATAATCTAAAAATAAAAATCACCTGTCAAGTAATTCCCTGATCTTTTGGGGAGGGCTATTTTGAAAATGTCAAGGAATATGAAAATAAACCACGTGATTAAAAATGAGTGAAGGACTTGACATTTCTCCAAAGAAGATAAACAAATGGCCAAAAAACAAATGAAAAGATGCTCAACATCACTCATCATTAGAGAAATGCGAATCAAATCCACAATTATAATAGATACCATCTCACACTTATTAGGATTGCTACTATCAAAAAAAAAAACCAGAATAGAAGTGTTGGCAAGGATGTGGAGAAACTGGAACCCTTGTGCACTACTGGTGGAAATGTAAAATGATGCAAGGACTACAGAAAACAGTATGGCAGTTCCTTAAAAAATTAAAAATAGAATTATGACTTGATCCAGCAATCCGACTTCTGGCTATATATCCAAAAGAATTGAAAGCTGCGTCTGGAAGAGAGGTTGTACACCCATATTCATAGCAGCATTATTCATAATAACCAAATGGTAGAAGCAACCCAAGCAATCATCAAAAGATGAATGGACAAAATGTGGTATATACATATGATGGAGTATTATTCAGCCTTAAAAAGGGAGGAAATTCTGACACACGCCAGAACATTTATGAACCTTACACTAAGTGAAATAGGCCAGTCACAAAAGCACAAATGCTGTATGACTGCACTCATATGAGATACTTAGAGTAATCAAATTTGGGAAAAGAATGGTAAAAAGTAGAATGGTAGTAGCCAGGGGCTAGGGGGTAGGGGAATGGGTGAGTTGTTGCTTAATGGGTAAAGATTTTCAGTTTGGGGGGATGGAACAATTTGGAGGTGGTTGTTGGTGATGATTGCACAATAATGTGAATGTACTTAATGCCACTGAACTATAAAAAATTATCAAAATGGCAAATTTTATGTTATGTATATTTTACCACAATTTTAAAAAATAATGTCAAGGAATATGATGGAAATTTTGTATCTGTCTGTGACAAAGCCACTCAAGATTCTAAAGTATCAAGTTTTAGTGCTTTGGGTTAAAATTCAGTATAGAAACATTGGTTGATTTGCTGTTTGGCACATTAAAATAATTTTCTAGGTGTTAGTTATGTATCTCATTTAAATGTACCCAAACCATAGGTAGAAAAATATAACCAAAAAGATAATTGATGAATGGTACCTAATTTTCTATATATTTTACTCCATTAACAATTAGCATCACAAAGCCACAATGGTTTATATGATTTTCTGCTATGAACTCTTAAAAACTAACTAGAATTTGAATCCATGTTGAAGTAGATAAACAGCAATTATGGAGATATGCCAATGCATTAATAAATGCAGCTTATTAAATAACATATTTTAAAACATTGAGTCCATGAGGAAAAAGTTATAAAATATACTCAAGAACTTACTTTCGCCTTGATGTGTTATTTCTTGAAGTTTGCTTTGTAGTCGCTAAAGAGATAAAAAGAATATAGGAGTTAAAAGGAACACTTTATATTTTTGCCCACCAAACATACATACATATGTATTTTTGTAGAGACAGGTTCTTGCTATGTTGTCAAGGTTAGTATTGAACTCCTGGCTTCAAGCAATCTTCCCGCCTCGGCCTCCCAAAGTGCTGTGATTACAGGCATAAGCTACTACACTGGGCCCCACCAAATATTTGAATTAACATATTTTAAAGGTAAAACCCTCCAAACACACAAGGTTATTAAGACTGGTCCCTTAGTGTCATTCAGAAGTATACCCTTGTGTTTATACAAAGTATAATTAGCTGTATGGGAAGAGACCCAGAAGACCAAGTACCACTTATTCTGCCCCACTTCTGCTTCTGTTATACCACCACACAATCATCATTGGTAATCTTTAGGCACAGTAATGAGGATTAGGATTTAGGGGAACCTGTGGCCTTCCAGATGTGGCCTTTTGACTGAATCCAATTTCAAAAGGCTGTACTTAGGATCTAGAGGGCCATATGTGGCCTTATGGCCGCAGGTTCCCCACCCCTGAATGCTTTGGATAAGGGACTAAAACTCACACTGAATTGTGAGAAAAGAGGGTGGGTTAGGTAGGTGGGAATAAAATGAGCATGACAAGTCTATCATAGTGTAGGGTACAGGCTTGGGTGTGAAGTCTCCTAAATATGCAGTTGTAGTATCTACTATTTTACTAAATTCTAGCTCCTTAGACACACTTAACTGATATTCCAATTGCTTCTTAATATGCATTGAAGTTGACCCTAATATATACCTTCTACCCAAAATTTGTTCCTTTTCTTGGGGTTCTTTATATGCTAAACATCATAGAATTTTAGATCACAGATTTTTAGCTGATAAGCTATAAATAAGCTTATAAGTTACAATCAGCAACTACTCTCTTACTCACCTCATACCATATGTGAATGGTTGATAACTTCTCTAATCTACTCCCCTTCTCTCTATATCACCACTCCCACACCCAGTTCAAGCCCTCATCAACTCACACTTGTACCATTGCAATGGTCTCCCAAGTTTCTCTGCTTTCAGTTTTACCTCTCCCTTCTCTACATCCCACCCCCCATTCTCCCAGTCACCAGAGCAGTCTTCATGAAACAAACATCAAGTCAGTTCTTTGCTTAAAAACCTTTACATGATCCCATGTGACAAGAGGGTAAATCACAATTCTTTAATGTGTCCTATAAAAATCTGTCCAAATCTGCTCATAGCCTATTTCTAGCCTACCCTGCCAATATATTGCACAGCTAAGTCCTGGTAAAGCTGCTGGTGCCCCCAGTCGTCCGTATTTCCTTATATTCCCGAGCCTGTGGAATGATGGCCTCACTTCCCAGGAGGCTCTCCTGCTTCTCCTTCCCTCATCTATGCCAGGAATACTTTTACTTGTTCTTTATAACTAGGTCCATGGTATCTTCAACAAATAAATTGCAAGGAAAAAAGAGATGGAGGGGTAATTTACAGATTAAAAGAGATTAAGAGCCTACATGAAGCCTGTAGTGATTATTCTTCCTGCCCTATTTTAGAATCACATGGCTAGAAAGAAACTAGAACCCAATATAGAACATTTTTTTGATATAAATAGGATATCCCTAATCTGTTCCTAGCAAGATGGTAATATTAAAAAAAAAAAAAACCTGATATATCATTTCACACCCATCAGGATGACTACTATCAAAAACAAAAACAAAAACAAACCCAGAAGATAAGTGTTGGCAAGAATGTGGAAAAATTGGAACCCTTGCATATTACTGCAGGGAATGTAAAATGGCACAGCTGCTATGGAAAATAGTATGGCAGTTCTTCAAAAAATTAAAAATAGAATTACTCTTTGATCCAGGAATGCTACTTCTGAGTACATACCCAAAAGAAATAAAAGTAGAGACTCAAAAAGATATTTGTACAACCATGTTCATGGCAGCATTATCCACAATGGGGTGGAAGCAACCCAACTGTCCATCAAAGGATGAATGGGCAAATAAGATGGGATGTATACATATAATGAAATATAATTCAGCATAAAAAGGAAAAAATTCTAAGATGTGCTACAACATGGATAAACCTTGAAGAAATGCTAAGTAAAATAAGGCAGACACAAACAATTACTGTTTGATTTCACTTATATGAGGCACATGGAATAGCTATTAATAAATCCATAGAATCAGAAAGCAGAATGGTATAGAGCTAGAGCCCATTCTACTAAGTATCACAAGAATAGAAAAACAAGCACCACATGTACTCACCTTCAAATTGGTGAGTACATGTGGTGTAAACTGATCAACACTTATGTGCACATATAGTGGTGTTATGTGATCAACATGTAGTGTTAACCGATCAACATGTGGTGTTAACTGATCAACACTTATGTGCACATATAGTAGTAACATTCATTGGGTGTCGGGCAGGTGGAGGGGAGTGGAGGGGATGGATATATTCACACCTAATGTGTATGGTGTGCACCATCTGGGGGATGGACATGCTTAAAGCTCTGACTCAGGTGGGGCAAAGGCAATATACGTAACCTAAACATTTATATCCCTGTAATATTCTGAAATTTAAAAAAAGCAAGAAAGAAAGCAGAATGGTGGTTTCTAGGGATTGGGAGTGAGTTACAGAATAGGGAATAATTGTTTAATGGGTACAGAGTTTCAGAATGGGAGGTTGAAAATGTTCTGAAGATGAATGGCAGTGATGATTATGCATTAATGCCACTATAGCTAATGTCACTGAACTATATACTTAAAAATGGTTAATATGGTAATCTTTATGTTGTTTATTTTATAATAATTTTTGATGGAAAAAAGTTTTTTAAAAAAATTTATTGAACAGAAAGTACTGGTGAGAATGCAGAGCAAGCAAAATTCTTACACATTATTGTTGGAGTATAAAATGGTACCACCACTTTGGGAAGAGGTTTGACAGTTTCTTATAAAATTATCCTATGACTCAGCAATTCCATTCCTTGATATTTACTCAAGGGAAATGAAAACGTTTGTGTGCAAAAAGACCTGTACAAGATTGATCATAGCAGCTTTATTCATAATAGCCAAAAACTAGAAGCAGCCCAGATGTCCATCAACAGGAGAATGGATAAACAATCCACTGTACATTCATACAATTAAATACTACTCAGCAATAAAAGGACAAAACTACCAATAAATGCAATAAGAGAGATAAATCTGAAAAACATTATGCTAAGTGAAAGAAGAAATACATAAAGAATATCTACTGAATGGTGAAAAAATCAGAAGAGTAGCTTTTTCTGGGAGGGTGATAAGGAGGGAGCAGGGGCTGACTGAAAGAGAAGGGAGGAACTTTCTGAGGTGAAGGTAATGATCTCTACCTTGTTAGGGACTTGGGTTACATAGACATATACATTTGTTAAAAACTCATCAAATGGTACACTGAAAATGTGTTTTTTACTGTATGTAAATTTTACCTTAAAAAAAAAGTATTATAAAGAAATACTGAACTCTAGTCAATAATAAGCATGATAAAAATATCCAGAGGTAAAATGTATTACTGTCTGCAACTTGGAAACATAAAAAAGTAAAATGGATTGATGAATGGCTAGAGGGACAGACAGAAATAAGACAAAGCAAATGCAGTAAACTATTACCTCTAACATTATTAAAAAGGCACCATGAATATCTCCTTTCTTTTCTAATAGATAAGCAGTGGCTTCATGAAGTTGATACTTCTGAGTAATCTAGGAGAAAAAAAGAAAAGATAAACATTTTTGTTCATGAATCTTGTTTGTGGGTGGGACAATCCCATTGGGGATGAAAAACCACATGATAATAAATAATGAATTCACACTTTAGTAGTATGCCACTTTACAGTATAATACATATACAATACTTGACTTTCTAGTCTTATACTGGCTCATATGGTATTTCTAACTGGACCAAATTCATTCATTTTTTTCACTTATTTATTTTAAAAAATTGTTACACACCTGAACAAGGTATATCCACTGGAGAAAAGCTAACACATACACATGAATAATAATAAACTAGAAACCTACCACGTGTAATTATACACAAATATTTAGAACAGAATGACAATGAAAACACTACATATCAACTTGTGAGATCTTAATAAAAAATAGCAGACTAAAAATTTCTAATTAGTAAAACAGAAATACCAGTTAAACTAAGAAGATAAAAGAAAGTACAGAAAATGACAGAAAGCAAACTATAGAGAGATTTAACAAACTCCAGCATAGATTTTTTGGAAAGATTAATATAGTAGAAAAAAACTTTCTTAGAAGAAAAGAGAGGCACAAATAGCACATTAGCAGTTTAATAGATCAAAGGAAAAGAACACATGAAAATAGCAATAAATGCAGGAAAAGCATTTGGTAAAACGAAGCACCCATTCATGACAAAAACAAAAACAAAACAAAACATTCTTACCTAAACTGAGGCTAGAATTTCTTAACTTAATGAAAGTTATCTATCGAAATTCTATAATAAATGCCATATTTAATGTAAAATATTAGATATGTTCTAATCAGGACATAATGTTTTAAATCAGGAACAAGGTTAGAAGGCACAGTATTACTGCTTCTATTTAACAATATCCTAGAGCTCCTAGCCATCTGTTAAAAGAAAGACAAAACTATAAGACTGGAATGAAAGAAATCCCTGCCATTATTATCAGAAAACATTATTGTCATAAAAAATCTTGAACCTGGCCAGGTGAGGTGGATCACGCCTGTAATCCCATTACTTTGGGAGGTGGAGGCAGGAAGATCACTTGAGGTCAAGGGATCAAGATCAGAGTGGTCAACATAGCAGGACCCCGTTTCTACAAAAAATTAAATAATTAGCCAGGCATGGTGGCATGTGCCACTAGTCCCAGCTACTTGGGAGGCTGAGGAAAAAGGATTGTTTGAGCCCAGGAATTTGAGGCTGCAGTGAGCTATGATCATGCCACTGCACTCCAGTCTGGGTAACATAGTGAGACTCTCTTAAAAAAATAATCTAGAAATTATTTAAACTAAAAAAGAATTTGGCCTGATTGCTAGATATAAAACAATATACAAAAATTACTAACATTCTAATATATCAGCAGCTATCAATAAAATATAGGCTATCTCAAAAAATCTCCTTGCACAATGTTAACAAAACTATATAGTATCTGTGAACAAATTTAATATGTGCAGAAGCCATATATACCAAGAGCATAAAAGGCATTTTAAAAAAGCAATCATACTCCTAAATGAGAAGAATCAATACCACAGAGATGTCAATTCTCCCTGAATTGGTCTATAAATTCAATGTATTTTTTAATCAAAATTCCAGAGGGTTTGATTCTTTTAAAGGAATTTGACAATGAGATCTCTGAATTGATATGGAATAATAAGAGGCCAAAAGTAGATAAAACATATCAAAGAAAAAGAATAAGGAGGGAGAATTCTTTTTCCAAATAATAAGCCTATTGAAAGCTGTAGTAATTAAAATGTGTGGTACAAGTATACCGAAAGACAACCAAAGGAACAGAACAGAACCCACAAACAGATCCATGTACATTTGGGAGTCTGGCATATAGCAGTACGGCATTAAAATGAGTGAGAAAAGAATAATAAAATGCCACATGGACTATTAGCCATCATGTGGAAAAAAGGATATAAATTCCTCCTTGATCAGCCTACAGAAATAAATTCCAGAAAGATTAAAAGCCTAAATGTAAGAAGCTAAACTATAAAACTTATATAAAAGAATATCTTTATGTCATCAGAATAGGAAAGGAAATAAGACACACACACACACACATGCACTCACACGCACACACACATTTTCATTTGAAAACAGGAGGAAATAAGGGAAGAGGATCAGGCAATGAGTATGCTAAAGCTACTTGAATTGCTATTTAGCCCATTACGTTTTATGGCACAACAGGACTATCCAATCATCAGTTTCTGTAAACAAGAGCTTGAACTTTTCCTTTCAATATTTTTACTACGTTCCTTTTTCCAGGCTTATTGAGTTGGCTAGAATTTCTATAAAGCTTGATTAATAATAATTTCTATAAAGCTGACTTTAATAGAATAAATGGGGAAGCAGTTTATCAGAGCAATTCAGAGCTTGTACTATGGAATCAGACTACCCGAGTTCAATAGCAGGCATTACCACTTACTAGATATAACCTCATGCAAGTTAACTTCATATGTAAGTATCCATTTTGCTTTTAATTATCACTTTGGCCCAATGAATTACCGTTATTTTACAGTGACTTGTGATTCTATTTTGATCAACTGTTTTGAACCTTTGACATATTTGACAGGCTTCCCAAAATCAAATTTCAAATTCTAAAATTAAGTCTTTTTAACCTCAAACTGACTTTGGGATGTTCCAGAGGTCTCTGAGGCATCCAAAAGAGAGATAATAAACCAGTTTATTTGATATGTTAAATCATACAGGAAACACTGTCAAGTAGAAATGATGTTTAGGCTGGGCATGGTGGTTCATGCCTCTAATCTCAGCATTTTGGAAGGCCAAGGTGGAAGGATCACTTGAGACGAGGAGTTCAAGACCAGCCTAGGCAACATAATGAGACCCTGTCACTACAAAAAAATTTAAAAAATTAGCCAGATGTGGTGGTGCATGCCTGTAGTCTCAACTACTTGCAAAGCTGAGGCAGGAGGACCACTTGAGCCCAGAAGTTTGATGCTACAGTTAGCTATGATGTCACTGCACTCCAGCCCAGATAACAGAGTAAGACCCTGTCTAAAAAAGCAAAATAAAAAGAAATGTTGTTTTACCTTCTTTGCATTATATTTGTAAGGATACATTATTAATAAGTGCTCCAAAATTATATGAGATTCCTAGAAGTCTGATATGTCTTGGTATGTATTATCAGTCATATTTTGAGTTATTATATTAAATTGTTATAGGCCACATAAAATAACCAAATTTCCTTGACAATTGGGTCTTTAACCATGGCCATTTTAAATCTTGTCCAGAGTTATTTGCTTTATTTTGGTGCTTTTTCCCCCCTGAAAGATCTTTGCAAACCCTAAAGTGTTGCATCTTTAAGGAGGCTCATGGAAAAGACCACAACAAGTACTCCTGAATACAGGTGTCTGACAACTTTGAGACTATACCACCGTAATGGACAAAAATTTCCCAAAAACAAGGGACTCATAAAGTTGTTCTGACCCAACATCAAGCAAAACAAAAATTAATTACATGGGATTAAAGTGAGTTTTTAATGACTTTTTTGTTTGAAATATTGCTGATCCTTTTTACTTTTTATTTTCTAGAATTAACCAAAACCTCTTTTTGTGTGTATGCATGGGTAATCAAAGTTTCACAATAATTTGGTAAAGTACACTTTCGTAAGCAAAACTGAAACATTTACACTTCTGTCCACCTCATTCTATCCTCAAATACAAACTATTTGTGAGTATTCTTATTCCACAGCAATATAGTTATTTGTATAAGTTCAATGAGAATTTGTTCTCTTTGTGGCAGGACAGTTGGAAACACAGGTTACAATACCAAGGCTTTGACTGTGATGTCATATTTTCAGATATAACCAGACTAGTTTAAGGAACTAAGCTTAATTTTAAGAGGTCAATAAAGCCCTTGGAAAAACTGGCCTGGTACTTTGTCTACATGGTACCCTTACAAGGTTCCCAGCCTTGGAGTAAGTAAAGAATGTTCCTTTTTGACAGTCCCAGGAACCTCAGAATATTTTGGGAACCTCAAGAAAAGAGGAATTTACACAGGTACTACAGGTTAAATCTGATAGTCCATGGCTTGGCTTTCTAACCTGGAGAAGCTTTTAATGGTCTAATCTGGGAGTCCTTATAAATCCTAGCTGAGCAGATTTTAAAAAGAATCTATTTGGTCAATCACTATTTTTACAGTACTTATATAAATAATCAGGCCAAATATAATGAGCCTACCCTTATTTTGCATATAAATTGGATTTACTGTGATTATGTTTGGTAAAAATGGGGAACCTAGAGAGAGAAAAAAATTATGTTTCAGAAAAAAACTATAGTATACTTGTTATTAGATTCTAGGTCATTGTTTTTCAGATTTTATTATTTATCTGCAATTTGGACTAAATCCTGAATTTTTGATTTCCTCTAATATCTGACTGTAACTCTTCAAACTAATAATTTGAAATTTTTCTGACTTGGAATCCCTGAAATTGAATTGTGTTTTTCCTGAAATCCTGTAAACTAATGTTAGACAACTTTATATAAACTTCAGAAAAATCACCACCACAACTTATTTATGGACAGAAAATTCACAGCAACACCAGATTCAAATTGCAATCCAGGACAATCTGTCAGATTGTCACTGCCTACTTCCACCCAACTGTAGACACTTCAAACACAAACCTAGAAACCTCAGCTAGATGCCCTCCAGATTCAGAGACAAGCTTATAGACTACTCCAAACATTAACCTTTGTTATTTTTATGTGAACTTCAATAGAAATCCACTTCTGAAATGAAATGCAACTATTTAACTGAACTGACCTATTTTCACAACTAAGTGACTGATTCAATAAGATATGGAACAATGTATCCAACTTTGTTCCTTTCTACTTGTTCTAATGTATGTTTCTCTCCCCCTTTGTCAATCTCTTACCTTAAAATCTCTAACTCAAATCTCTCCAAAGCTACCAAATTGGCTTTTAATATGTGAAACTTTCTAAAAGTAAAGTTTCAAAGGAGGGAACGAAGGAAACCAAAATATTTCTCCCCCCAGTACTGAGTATTATTAAGTTAAAGACACTGAAAATGCAGGGGATCACTCTGCCTCACAGCAGGACAGAAATCCTCACTTACCAGAGACACCACTCTTTTATTGGCTCAGAGAAGGCACTGGCAGGCACCAGAGAAATCTGAGAACAGATTTTACCATCCTCCCACATTTTCCCACCTTTCACAAGACTGGAACTGATCTTGCCTCTGTTTTGTCACTATGGGATTTACGGCTGTTTGTTAAAATAATATTTAAGCGAGGTCCCTAAGCCACTGCCTTGAGAGAGACTTCTGAACTGAGATCTCTTCCACGTGATAGGTACAACACACGTCAATAAACTTCTGCTGATTTTTTCTTGCTAATCTGACTTTTGTTTTCAGGAAAGTGTCTCAACTAAGAACTTATGAGGGTTAAAAATGAAATTATATTTTTCCCCCTCACTTTGCTCATTTGTCAAATGAGAAATGTTAAGGAAGAGTTTACTCTTATCTTGTCTACACTGTTGGTCTTATCTTACCTGAATAGTTTCTTCTAGGCGATAGCACTCAAGAACTTGCAGCGTCTCTATAACTTGGTTTGGGTTGAACTGACACGACAGCTCAATGAACTGCTCTGTGATACAGGGAGATATCTGCAGCGATTCTTGATTTACATGAATACCTTCCCTAAAAATATAAAAGGTAAGAGAATACTAAATTACAGAATTATTTAATCACATCTATAATTAAAGGCTACAGGTAAAAAGTATATTATGTTAAAACCAGACTACCTTCTAGTCAAGCAAAAATGTGAAGTGAAAGTCCTGGTGTTACTTAGGTTATTTGGGCAAACTATACATTACATCAGAGGCATTCTCTAAGAAGCAATATTTCTCAGGTTACATTGAAAAATTAAGGAAATAACATTTAGTTGAGACTCTTCTAACTCAGACCAAATGTTATACTTTGCTCTAAAAGAAACAAGAAAACCCACCCAATTCAGTCTAAACAATTACTAAACCATCTTCTAGTCTCAATAACTGCCTCTTCTATATGTCCCTCATAGAATCAATCACATCACATTGCAATTACCTCTTTAATTATCTGTCTTCTCTAAAAGACTACAAACTTTATGAAGGTAGGCACCATGCATCTTCTCACTAATGAATTTTTGAAGCCAACCAGTGTCTTGCATGTTGTAAGGGCTAATTTTTTGATTACTGTCAAAACAAATTAAAAAGTGATGAATAGTAAGACATACCATATTTTTGCGTCCATCTGCCTTTTATGCCAGCTACTCACAAAGCCCACTATTCATAAGGCCTACACAAAAGCTTTGGAAGCAGAGTATTAACTTCATCATGCTGGATACTCAACTACTGGTGGCCAAAAGGAACTGCTTAGGAAATCAATTGTTGCTCTTTGGAGACCTAAGAATCATCTTCTCTCTAGTTTCAAAATAAGTCAGTTCCTTCTGAGAGTCCTATCTTCCCTTCAGAATTCCTCAACTAAAGCTCCTTATATAAAGAAGTGGAAGAGGGACAATAAAATACAAAAATGATTGCTTGGGAAACTAGCCTTCTGAGAAAAGAGTAAAGCAGACAGTTTAAAGCAGTAGTTTCCAGCTTTTCAGATACCACAGCACACAGAAAACGGCGATATCTGTAAGGCCCACTGGAGTGAAGATTGCTCACACGGGACTCTGGGGGCCCCAAGAGCCAAGGGGATCAGTCTCTAAGCACATCTGTAGCCCTGTGCAGTACACCAAGAGGCACAGGGTGGGAATCTCTGGACTCCAAAAAGAATGATTTGGATTTTGTAATTATTCTATAAATGATGTTAAGTAGCACTCCGATTTTTACTAATAAGAGGTTTGAATTATAGAAGAAGGGATGATATTTAGACATAGGGCATTTTTGCAAATTAGCTTATGATACTCAGTCCTAACCAGAGGTTGAGTGATAAACCAAGTTCTGCTCTTTGGGGCTTTCAAGACCTGCTGACGGGCTACTTCTGTATCTCCTCAAGTTGGCTGTGAATTACAAAAATGAAGTTTTAAGTTTTGTTTTTTGTTTTATGGTATCTCACAACTGCCTTTAAAATATGCAATTTTGTTCAGTGACTGGCTATTCTCTATGTATACCACCACCTTAGTTTTTACCACATAACTTGAAAATTATCTGTTTAAGTGTCTGTGTCTCCAACTATATACTATAATCCCAGGACAGCAAACACTGTTGTATTCATCGTTTCCCCAGCACTAACACAGCCTTGGCACATAATAAATGGAGCTCAGGAAATACACGTTGAATTGAACTGAACTGACCAGAACAGTATACTGGACTGTCTGCAAACAGAGAGAAATGCAGAACAGGTGGAAATACAGAATAGAGGGGTCAAAGTTTCAGGGACTAGGGTTATAATATCAGAGACAGCTAGGAATAAATCCTGTCAGAAAGCCCTGCAAGGAGAAATTAGAGGCAGCACGGGATAAATCCAGGGAAATGGTAGTTCTCTATATGTGACTATGATACTGTGATATAATAACAAATATATATATGGTCTCTGCCCCTGGTTCCTGGCACACAGATCCTAAAACCCTTGGTGTTTCTGAAGTGGTAACTGTTTTTTCCATTTGCCAGTGAGAGGACAGAGGGCTGGGGGCTGCTCCTGGACAGCTTCAGGATGGGGGCTGGTTGCTAGGGGAGCCAACCATGTGAGTAGAGGGTTGGAACTTTCAGTCCCACCTCACATACCTCTGCAGAGGGGGGAGGGGTTGAGTCGATCACCAATGGCCAATGATGTAATCAATTGTGCCTGCACGATAAAGTCTCCATGAAAGCCCAAAGGACAGGGTTTGGGGAGCTTTTGGATTTCTAAACACGGAGATGCCTGGAGGGCAGTGCGCCTCCGTGCCCTTTCCTACATGCCTTGCTCTGTGCATCTCTGCTACCTGGCTGCTCATCTGTATCCTCTGTAACATCCTTAAAATAAACCAGTAAATATAAGTAAGGTGTTTCCCTGAATTGTGTGAGCTATTCTAGCAAATTAATTGCACCTGAGGAAGGGGTCAAGGGATTCCGATTTATAGATAGTCAGAAGCACAGATCGTAACCTGGAGTCTGTGCTTTGGCATCTGAAATGGGGTGGGTAGCCTTGTGGAACAAAGGCCTTAACCTGTGGGATCTGACACTAACTACAGGTAGATAGAGTCAGAACTGAGTTAAACTGGAGGGCGCCCAGTGGGAACCCACTAGAGAACTGCTTGGTAAGTGTGTGTGGGAAAAGTTCCCATACACATTTTGGTGACCAGAGCAGTTTGGTTTTTCCTATTATCAGAAGGATCAAGGTTGTGTCTCAAGGGAACAGTATTAGGCAAAAGAGAATGGGAATGTTAACCAATGTTTCTCCACATTCAGGCGAGCCAGTGTTCTTTATAGATGTTTATGCCATATTGTAGGTAGTGTTAGTATTTTATCTATATTAGATTTCTGTTAGTGTATCTTATAAATGCAAGACTATGGAGCAAATTAAGGTTGGACATAAGCATGAATCACAGTATTTAATTCTTCTCAGAACATCTATTGACAGAACCATTTGTAAAAACTGAAGTTGTGAATATGCATCAAACCAAGCAAATTACCCAAATGAATAGATTTTGATGCATTCATTTGTGGGGGAAATAATGTGTCTGATGAGAAATGATTGGAAAACATCAACAGAACCAAAACTTTAATAAATAAGCTGTAGCATTAATGAATTTACATCCATTTCTGACTGTTGCTTATCAGCCTTGCACATAAATACAATTTGATAGATCCTGTTCCCAGAGCTATTTCTGTTAGTCTTCTATTAACTACCCATTTTACCACATACCCACTGCTAACTTCAATGGCCATCAAAATGTATTTTAGACTTAAACCTTATCTACTCTTTGGGGAATCTCTATTTTAACAATAGCACTAGCTAAAAGAATATAGACGTTTAAATATATGTAAAAGGGAGAAAAATCTAAATTTTAAAACTTTTAGAAGAAAGCATATGTGTGCCTTCTCCCTCTCCCACTCTCATGTCCTCTCTCTCTCTCTCTCTCTCTCTCTCTCTGTCTCTGTCTCTCTCTCTCTGTTTCTCTCTCTCTCACACACACATATACCTGCCTACCCTGAAATTCAGGTTGGAGAATATTTCAATCCATTCTTACTCAGGTTATGAAAATAATTTTAAATTATAACCATATATATCAAATCATTTCTCAGAAAGGATAAAAATAGATATCAATTTTGGAAAACTTACATTAAAATGATTCTAAAATTAAAATTCTGACTTCCTAATATTTGACAAAAATAAATAAATAAATGTTGTACTGGAATAAAAAAAGGCTCACCTAGTCCCTGTCCCTCACTCTAAAAACTGCACCTAAATAGGATAGTCTAGATTATTCATCCATACCTCTAACGAAAAAGATTTTACAATCTCTTCCAGCACCTTGTTTTGACAACTTAGGGCCACTTCTGCCTAGCCTAAATTGAATTCTCTGCTTATTCCCATATATTCAGTCCTTGAATGTAGTGGCACACTGATGACTACTCAGTGTGCTTTTAGATTTTAGACTACCTTTCAGATTAAGAACTTGAATATACCATTCACAACACATGCCTCCACCACTTCTTCCCTAAAGTGGGAATCAGCTTAGAACTGGGAGGGATTTCTGTGGGGAAAAGGTTAAATATCAAATAAGAGGCCCTCAGCAGCCTCCATCACTGTCATGGACACCCGCAGTCTTCACTGCTGGAGGATCCTGCAGTTCTCATGGCCTCTGAGCCTAGCCTAGTGAGCTGCCCAAAGTTCACACAGCTGCAATACTCAGAGGAGCCCACCTTGTGCCCTGTCCCCTGTGGGGGGGACTGTTACTGCGCCACACCATCTGGAAACTGGAGCCACTACTAGAGTGCATCCTGCTCTGGGGACCAGTAGCCACTGCATCCCTTCATTCCTGAGGCTCTGCTATCATTGTACACAGCTTACACACATGGTGATGCATCACTCCTCAGTTGAGCTGCTACAGCTCTCCACCCCACTAGGATGGGCTGCCTCAGAGGCACTCCATCTCCCCCATCCCAATTGCTGCTGTGCTCTGACTCCTGTTGCTTGGAGTCTAGGCCCAGAGGAGTGGCCTTGCTTCTCAGTGCCCTAGCCAATGATGTTGACGAAGAGGGAGGAACAATAAGCAAAGGGAGGAGTGTGCAGTGTATTCTACAAACAAATTGTTCAGTAGTGCTGAAGAATAAAGGAGAAAAGCGAAATGGGAAGACAGAAGAAAACGAAGCTGGACAGATGAGCTTGAATCAGATCAAGAAGGGCCTTGTACATCATGAAGACTGGATCTCACCTTGGGTACTGGGAATCGAAGGAACTCTGAGAAAGGGGAGGAAAATGTTATCATCACCCATCTCTTCAAAAAGGGCAGAGAAGAATTAGGAAGGCTGGTTGGGAAACCAGCAAGAGAGACCAGAAGAAAGATGCTGAGTGTCTGAACCAGGGTGGGTGGGGGCTGGGGGACACAGACAAGAGGAAGACACCCATGTAAGAGAAACAGAAAAGGTTAGTTGATAGATTTTGATGACTGGTTCTGTGTGCTGTGGTGAGAAGGTAGAGTAGGTAAAGGAAAGTGAAAACTTGATCATCAC